AATATATTCAAAACTGACATATGATTTTGAAGAATTTCTTCCTTAGAAAGGGAGCAATGGGTATAAGTTGGATTGCCACTTGTAGAATTAAATCCAAGTTCTTCTAAAACACGATTTAAATAATGAGCCTTACATACAAAGACAATGTTGTTACCTGCTTTATCTGCTAGGACCAGTACATACTGATCGTGTAGTCTATCTAATTCTTTTTTCACTTTTGAATTTTTGAACACAGAAGGACAGAAAGATGGACAGAAGGATGAAAGTTGTGGTTCTTTTAAATGAGACCTAAAAACTGAGGCCCCGTGTCACAGCAGTTGACGCCTTAAAGATCCCTCAATGCTCAATGGCCCTAAGTGCTGAGTAAAGGTCTTAATTTGAAACCCTTCACCGGTATATGGTGACGTCTCTATATGGTTGAATAATTCTCGAACGGGACGTAAAACAACATATTATCAATCAGTCAATAAAATATCAGTTCATTGCAATTAATTATCATGTTAATCTTATTCACTGCATTTCAAAGCAATTCATTTCGACTTCCTTTTTTGGTGTTTTATATGCATTCTAATGCAGCACACATGCTTGTTGTAGGAGAACATTAACAGAATTCGAATGTTTTCTCTCATTGTAGAGAGGCATTTGTTTCTCACAAAGTTATCTTTTTTAATTATTTTATTTTTTCAACACAATTCATTCTATACAAAATGTCCATTATCTTTTCTATAACAGAATTGTGTATATATAGAATTACGAGAGAGAGAGAGAGTTACAAAAATAGTAGGTTCCACCTGTTACAATGAGTGTCAAATTTCTCTTTTTCACCATTTTTATGATATATATTTTTGTGTTTGGTAAAAATAACTCAAGTGTGATATTGCAGAGTAAACATTTAGAGGTTTTTCAGTGCATCTAGAAGTATAAATATAATATTTTAACCATAAGATTAAGATATTAGCTATTTCATTATTTTTTCCTCTAATACCTGAAATGAATCATATATAATATGTGGTAACAATATACCATATGTTATGGACAAATGGAGGTTTCTCTGCTGGAGATAATATTCAAAGTTTTCAAGGAGTGATTGTACAAGATCACATTCCCATAGGATATGTTCAATTGTCTCTTCTTCTTTTTGACAAAAAATACACTGCTTAGAAACAACCTTTTGATTTTGAATAAAAAAGAATTAGTTGCCAATATTTTATTTAAAGTTCTGTACTGAAACCACTGGAGTTTACAGTTTTTTGTAACTTGAAATGGTAATTTATGAATTATTTTGCATTCCTTGCTATCCAAATCAAATAATTCAATCCACTTTTTGTAACCAGCTATAGTAGAAGTATTTTTATTTAGAATTTCATAGAATTTTTTTGATTTTTTGCATTTTGATACAATATAAAAATTAGACATAATAAGAAGATTTTCTGTTTTTTGTAAATTTTTATCAAAATTGCTCCTCTTTATCCAATCTTTAACTGCATGGATTAAGCTAGAATATTCAAAAAAATTATCTTTATATCTGGATAAGTATTGCAAAAGCATTCATAGCTATAAGAAATGCCATCTACTCCAATAATATCATTAATATATCTAATATTATTGTCAAACAGTTTTTTACTATAAAGGTTTTCCCTCCAATATGGATCATAGAGTTGTAAAACAGTGGAAAGTCTACAGTAACATCAGAATCAGTACAAATTTTATTCAAATCCACCCAAGACTTGAACACATCAATTCAGAATTTATTTTTTTTAAGTTTTTCATAAGTTGAGTGATGTATTCAATCCCACAGGATGCAAATTTATATATATTCATATTTGGGATGAAATTATCCCACCCTTTATTTGTAAAAACCAGATGTCTTATCCAAACTAATTTCAGAGAAACAATGAAAGCATTTAAATTTATCATTTTCAGTCCTCTATCTTCATAGTTTTTAACAATGACATCTTGATTTATTCCATAAGAATGAGAAAAAAAAGTTTTTCTAATTCTTTACAATAAGAATTAGATGGATTTTGGATTGACATTAGTAAATGATTTAATATAGGTAAAGCCAATGTCTTTATAACAGTAATTTTTCCAATTGGGATTAAAAACCTTTTTCCCCATTGACTAAGAACAGACTTGATTTGCACTAGCTTCGGTTGATAATTTATTGCAGACATTTTTTCTAGGTCAACATCAAAAATTATCCCTAATAAAGTAAATCTAGTAGTTCCCCAATTAATGTGGTAATTTGGGAGTAAAACCTCATCACTGTATTTTTTGGATCCAATCCACACAGTATGTGTTTTTGAGAAGCTAATACATAATCCAGACATACCTGAAAATTTTTCTGTGTTTTTCTGTGTTTCTAAAAGAGACTCCTCACTTCCATCAAGAATAAGGGAAGTATCATCTGCCAGTTGACAGATCTTTTTTCTATATTTCTAATGGTAATACCTTTTATTTTTTTTATTTTTCCTAATTTGCATGGCTAGAATCTCTGCAGAGATCTAAAAAATATATGGAGACAAGGGGTATCCTTGTCTGCATCCCCTTTCAATATCAATTACATCAGAAAAACTACCACCTTGATTAACAGTAGCTTTAATTTCAGTGTAAAAGAGAGTGACCCATTTTCTGATGGAAGGGCCGAAATTTAAAAAATGCAATGTTTTTTGTATGAAGTTCCAGGAAAGAGAGTCTAAAGCTTTCTTAAAATCGATCAGTAATAAAAGTCCTGGAATATCTTCTTCTTCTGTAAAGTGCATTATATCATATATCAATCTTATGTTTTCTCCAATATATCTGTTGGAGATAAAACCGGTTTGGTCAGGGTTGATTATTTTATCTAAATATCTTTTTAAATCTGTTTGCAATAGAGCCAGATGATATTTTATATACAGTATTTAACAGTGTAATAGGACGCCAGTTTTTAAGAAAATGTATTGGCTTGTCACCTTTAGGTAATAATGTTATGATTCCATGTCTTTGTGTAATAGACATGATATCATTCCTGTAACCATAGTTAATAGATCTTACAACAAAGGCCCAATATATTTCCAAAACAATTTTTAAAAACTCTGTGGAGAAACCATCAGATCCTGGAGATTTGTTAGCCTTCATATTATAAAGAGTATTTGAGGCTTCTAACAAGGTTATTTCACCCTCTAAATGGTTTGATTTTTCATAAGAAAGTTTGGGAACATCAGTATGTATCAACTCATTATCTAAATTTTAGTCCGCATTCCGTTTTTGGTATATAAATTTTCATACAAAAACTTTCAAAATCTGTGACTGATCATGAATAACCTAACCATTATTTATTTCTAATCTTGATATAATTTTACTTGTAAAATTACTTGACTCCAGTTTACAAAAATAGTTTGTGGGCTTTTCCCCTTCCTCAATCCATCTTGCTCTACTTCTTGTGAAATTACCTTGTAACTTGTGCTTTCTAATTTTTTCTAATTCTTGTTTTTTATCATATAGTTCTTCTAAGTTACTTTCAGAAATATTTTCTACCACATTTTTAATGTCCTTGATCAATGAATTTTCCTCAGTTTTTCTCTTCTTTTTGACATATGATGAATAAGAGATAGTTTTACCCCTTAATTCTAATAGTAAGGTTTCCAAAAATTATTGATCATTTATGGTAAAGAATATATTTTCATCTCGCACTGTGTGCATGTTGTCATAATTGTTATCTTCATGTTATCAACAAGGAAAGCATTCTATTTATAGACAAGACTACTGAGGAAATACGTAGGTCTTCTGTACAGTCACGATCCAGATCTTACAAAGGCAGTATTTTTTGCTGCTTTTTTCTCTCATTTTCAGAAATCATTTGAGAAGCTTCAAAGGAACAGTAAAAAAATCAGCCCAGTTTTTTCTTATTTTAAAAAATCCAAATAATAGAGCGGTTTAACTGAAGTTCAAGGTTCTATATTTGTTTAATCAGGAACTGCTAAAAAGAAGATGATTAACGCAAAGATTGTCTTCAAAACAATACAAATTTGGAACAGAGCAAACAAAGACTGCTAAAACATCAGAGGTGGGATCAGGTGGCATGGAGGAGTAAGCATCACATGTCGACCGGTCACACCCGCCATGTTCTCCTGGTAATGATCGGACAAACGGAAAATCCATGGACAATTCAATAAAAATAAAGGCCCAACAATTAGTATGAAAAACGTCAGTCAACATTCGACTGAATGATATATTCTGTTTGCTGACAAGATCATTGTATCGACCATAGAATTTGCGGAATATTGACTTTAAACGAGACTGTTGATATTCTTGTTTCAATAACTCGTTTTAGAAATTGCTCGTACGTAGAGCATGCTTTTGCATATCAAATCATTTGGGAGCCATAAACTCCATAAGCAGCTGATAATCGTATATTGCTACATAAATAAGGGAAGTAAAATATATAATTAAATATATAGTATTTATTTATTAATTATTCGTAGTATTCTTTGTATTTTTGCAATGATATCATTATCAGCTTGAAATTGGTATAATCAATAAACATTAACAATCCCTAGATTCCTGGCAAATACAGAACCTGTATTACCAGTTCACACTCCCTTAATCTGAATAACGTTGAGAATCCTGAGGTCTTTTGGACTGAGGCCTCATGGCACAAACGATCACGTTATTTCCCGCATTTTAATTATTCAATCATCCCCTTGCCTCGTATCGTAGAATCCTGATGAAAAAAAATCTAAATTAAGGTTAAAATGAGTAATGCTTACTGACATCAAGCAACCATTATGTAAAATTTTTTCAGAGCAGTAAATCAGCATATTTTTGTTTTATGAATATGATTCCCCATTTTAAGTAATTGGTAAGGTTTTTACTCATAAAACTGTAGCAACTGTAAACATATCATATATAATACATATACATGTTTATCATAAACAGTTACAACATCTTTACTTTAGGTATTTCATACAATTATTTGAACTAATATTATTTCATTGAATGTTAGACACAAATTGTAAATATATAAATAATTATACGCAAGGCCTGGTCTGGACTTGGAGGGGGATGTGATTGCCTCCAACATGGTGTCCATTTACAGAAAATTCTGGTGCGAAGGAAGCCCTCCCAGATCTCTCTCTCACCCCCTTTCAGAAACTTACGACGGCCCTGGTAACAAAGATAATGTTATTTTTATAAAATAATGTATTTATATAATTCTTGTGCGGCGGATAATTGTTCTTCTCCGAAGCAGGAAACCTATTCCTGGATTGATAGGGGAGAGGAAGAGAGGGCTTAATCTCACTAGCCGAATAAATCTTCTTGTGCTTGGGTATATTGGAGATGGAAATCGTAAAGCTGCGCGTCTTCGGTCTCTCAAACGCAAAAGCTGTCGTGCAAATGGTGTAATGTCGAACCCGAGCCGATTTCCTCTCAATATTCTGCTGCATGACTGTGGCGTATTACTTTGAAAAGAAGAAATAAAATAAAACATTTTTTTAATTCGGATAAAGCATATTTTTTCTCAATCAATGCTTGGTTTACATATATATATATATATATGTCAATCAAATTCAAAATTGACAACCGTTAACCGCAAAACGTTCCGACCAATAAGTCGGTTAATCGTATCAAAAATTCTGGACATAGTCCATCATTCTAAACTGTGCTTTACTCAAATAAACAAGACTATACAGATGATACATGTAGTAATATTATATTTATTTCTGATCAAAACACTATATATATTTTGTTTTTGAATCAATAGACAAAAAAATCATTAATAGATAAATGAAAAGTAAAAAAAGAACGCGTAAGGTAAAAAAATAAAACTCATGAAAGAAGCCTGATCAAGTATCATATCCATTTTTAAAACATCAAGAGAGATGTCACGCAATTTATCACCATAATCAAAAATAAATAGGTACTATCGCTTAATTTACAATGTTTGATTGATAATAAAATTTGTTAGAGCAAAGGATAGTAGAGGTTAGGTGCACATTATAATCAGTTCACAGTACTCAACGATCATTTAATCAAAAGCATTAAAGAAACACAAGTCAGAGTGGGTTATACATTTTCTTAAGACAGAAATTTACAACTGACCAATTACCCCCCCCCCCCAAATGTCAATCCGGAGAGCCTTACTTATCTCCAAATCGGCTTATTTAGATGGATGGAAATGCTAACATTTCAGATATTATTTTTATTTGTATTTCTTGACTGAATTTTCGAGATTTTGTGTTCAAATTTACACATATTTTATTTTTTTTCCCCGACTAATCGATTACAGATTTTCTAACCGATTACCATCGTTCCGACCGAGTAACCGGTTAACCGATTACAAATTGCCATCCCTGACACACGTGGCAATTTGTAATCGGTTAACCGATTACTCGGAGGGAACAATGGTACTCGGTTAGAAAAAACTGTAAACTGTTAGTCAAAAAAAATAAAATAAAATAAATATGTGTTAATTTTGACAAAAATTCTTAACAATGATAATATTTCATTTTAAAAACCTCTGCATAAATGTTGATAAGTTTGCGTTTTTTACATATCTAGAGGTAATTAATATTCTCCAAATTGAGATCATTTTGGCGCATGTAATTGGTCAATTTGTGAAGTGTTAATTACTGTTTAAACACCACGTCGTTACCCAGTCTGTACTGTATTTCTTTAATGATATTTATTAAATGACTGTCGATTACTATGAACTGATTATAATGTCTATCTTACCCTTTCTAACCTTTGCAGTTATCTATCAAATTATATTAAACAAGCATTGTAAATTAAGTTACAGTTTAGATCTAATTCTGCTTATATGGTGCAGAATGACTTCGTGTTAATTTACCAATTTCTCTGATTTCTAATGTATGTTTCATGGTTTTGTTAATTTTTAATTGCTATAATACAATTACTATCGGTTAATCAGTCGGGACGTCTTTCGGTTAACCGATTGGCAAGGTTGTATTCGATTGCCATCCCAAATATATATATATATATATAGAGAGAGAGAGAGAGAGAGAGAGAGTTTAACACTGTGTGCGTGTGTGTGTGTGTGTGTGTGTGTAATAGAGACATACCGTCGTCTGTCAGGACGTAAAAGTAGTCTTGGTTGAAAGGAATGAGAGCGGCCTCCAATATTCTTCAATACTGAACACATAATTTTGGAGTATGTTGTCTGTTTTATCTCTGCTAATTCATCTAAATTTTGTAAAGAATCAAACGATAATTATTTAATTAAAATGATCATAATTCAAAATTCAGAGGTCAAGAAGTTAAGACGTTCCGTTACTTGTTTTAATGTTTTAGAACACTGAATTGTAAATTGTACCTTTTGTAAAAGCAGCCAGTGGGTTTTCTGGGAAAGTGCGCTCGTACCAGAAACGGTCGCCCTGTTTGTATAGGCTGAACTGAAAGCCGATAAGACATTGGAACGTGGGTCCCAGTATGCTTCCGGTTCGAGGAGTTTCAGATAAACCTCCAGCATAAAGATCAATATCGTCTGGATCTCTAATAAAAAATTAAAGATTTTCAAAACTTTTATTCTTCTTAACATTCATCACATGACTTTCGTCTTCAGTTACTTAGATATACGCAGTGTTTTTTACAATATCTTTATTTGGATAAATTTATACCGATAAGTTTGAAATGATTCAGGCTACTGTATATCAGCATGATAAAAAACGCTCACTTGTAAGTTCGCTGAAGTGCAGCTGCTGCCTGTGGAGTATGATCTACCAGCCCCCCTGGGGCAGTAGCAAAGAAACGCGCTCTTTTAAGTCCACAGAATTCTCTGTAAACGTTGTAGGGAGGTATGCCGTGATCTCGACCTCTCTGTACGTTCAAAGCTCCCAAATCAAAGGACAGTGTTTCTGATTCATTCATCCCTTTCTCTGAAGATTTAAATAATTCATTCCTGATTCCATCAACTAAGAATCTGTCAGACTTAGATTTTGGGGCCCTTGACATCCAGCGAGCCATAAACTCATATCCGTGATCAAACATCAGGTCAGGAACCTCAAAATGATCGCTCACCGGAAATTCTTGGACATTCCCGAATCCTCTGTCGTGACCTACAGTATTTCTGACTAAACTATGGCCCATACGATAGGCTGCTACGCCAAAAGCATTAATTGTTCTTGGGTCAATCCTATAATTATATACATCGCTGTGTCCCACTGGCCGTGAATGAAGATTGAAATAATTCATTGTATAATCGTCAAGTAAAGCAGGTAAAAATTCGTTGTAAGTAACATGCTGAAGCTGCGCAATTACGATTCTCTTTGCCTCCTGGAAAAGAATTTCATCATTTCTGATGCCAGTGGCTCGTCGCAATGCGTCGGCAATGAGATTATGACGTCTTAACCACGTGATATGAGGAACAGTTAGGGTTGGTGTTTCGCTTGGCCTGTGATCTCCTGTGATAAAGAATTTGAAAAAATATTCTTCTTTGCTGTAAAGCAAGCAGAGAGAGATTGGGGGATAAAGAAGAGAAAGGAATTTATATTGAATCGGAAAATAACCACTGATGTTTTTATACATCTGTCATCTAGAAATATGTTATATGTGAGTCTGTTGTTTCATGAAAGGCTGTTTAACTTAAGAATTTACAATTATAATCACACCTCATAAAGTACTGTAAATCACTTTTTATAAGCGAGAATTTTATTTTCGCGTAATTAAGCGAGACTGCCTGCTCGCGAAAATTTAATTCTCGCGTATATTTCTAGTATTAAAGAATATATAGTACAATATCCAAAGTTCGTGAAAATTATGTTTCGCTTATCAATACCAAATGACCATCTCGCAAAAATAAAGTGTCGCAAAAATTTGGTGATCTACAGTAACTGTTTTTGTAGTAAAATACAAATTATGAATATGTTACAATGCGTCCTATTTGAAAAACATGCACTAGAATTATGTATTACATATTTTGGGATAGATTTATCAGTACAAAATGACATTCCCTACACCCAAGAATGCTCTATAGTAAGATTGTTCGGAATTGATCCAGTGGATCTGGAGAATTCAAAGATATGAAAAGTTTACAGTTGTTATACAGCACAACCTGACCTGTTGGGCATCCTTTCTATCAATAAAGATCCCTCGAGTCTTTGTGTCGATTAAATTGATTTCCCCCTATACATTACTTGTAGGTTTCGAGCCCAACCCTAAAGCCCATGTGGAATGATAATCTTGAAAAATCTTTGTTATGCAGTTAAAAATATCATACGCTAAATTTGGTTGAACTTGGTTGAATATTGACTGAGAGGGAGCTAAAATATTTGAATATATCAGACTAACAGATGAGGCAATGGGGCTAAGAAACGTTGGGACTATTGGTCATCCGAAAAGAACACATTTAGTTATACTGAGGACAGAGAAGTAATATTACTAATTTACCAGCCATGAAACAATGATATCTAGTTGTGATTCCCTGCGGACATCCTTTCTCGTGACGTGGAAGAAGATTTTGATAATTTTCAGCAAATCTCCCACCAATTGCAACTGAAAGGTAAACATTTGAACCATGTTCATTCTGTCTTCCAATGGAGGCAAAGTAGTATGTTTTATCAAAAGAAAATATGTTCCTTACGCTTTCCTCCCCTTAATTTTTTCTCATGATCAAAGGTAGATCCATATATCATAGAGCCATCCACAAAGGCTGTTCTTTCGTTCAGCTGCTCGCGGACACCTAGAAATTTACATCAACCACTTTTTTAACCGAAAAGACAATTTTCAAGGTTATGTGTGTATTTACTGCATGTTAATATATCATTTATTCAATCATTCAAAAGGAGAGGCATGTAACTTCATGTTTTTATTAATGATAAAGTCAACAAAACTAATTAAGGAGGCTGGGGGTCAACAAATTAACCATCAGTTATAACTTAATTTTATAGATATGATATCTTAAGCTGTCAACTATCATTTGGCAAAGAAAAATTTCATACATTTTAGTTTTAAAATTTGATCATTTTTGTATATCTTTATATGGAGCTCTTCTTGTAAAGGAGATCAATATAGTCTGAAAATGGCCACAACCCCTAGCCCTTTTAATTATTATTCTTGCGAGCCAAGTTTTGTCAACTCCGTTTGTGGAAAAGAGAGTGGACCAGAAACCCTCGGCTAATGAAGATAAAAGATAAGGAACACAAAATATTTCTTACCACTTTCACACCTTAATGGAGGTGCGCCTAAATGACGAACGAAGTGCATACAAGTTTTGTTTGGCTTGAAGAATGGATCCAGTTTGTCGATTTCAATGTTAAAACAATGCTGTGGATATTTTCTACCAAGAAAAGTAAGTCTTTATTAACATATCATTTTCATATAAAAAGTAAATACGTGTATATTCTGAACGAATCTTATTTTGATTTCCCCTTACAACTGACCCGTAAAACTCGTCAAGAATCATACTACTGCAAAGTTAATGTTGTTCGTATTCTTTCCAATGCAAGAAACCAAAAAAAAGATTTATAATTTAAATGTCGTGCTTGTTTCCCTTTGCATCTGATCCATACTTAAAATAAATTATATAATTACTTAAAATAAATAATTTATTGCTGTTTCTTTTACAAAATAACCTATTTGCGTTCACGGAAAGTTTTCTCCTTTATTTCTTATGAAAACTGATTTTCATTGTTCAATCGATGGACGCCAAGTAAGTAAGAACCGGTTCTTAAGATAATATGTGTGTGTGTTTAGAGACAGGAATTTGAAAAATTATGAAGCATTCATTTACTGTATGTATACATAAACAAAAAAAATAAATATTATGATAGCCTTGCTTTCAAGAATTTATAGTATCCTAAACGTTGCGTTTCCTCGACCTTGTGGCTTTATTTTATGGCGAAAAAAAGTAATTTTCCTGGTAATCTTTTCGTGAAATAAAATAATAAATATTGTTTTTGTCCTATCCGCCCGTCCGTCTGTCTGCCCGCAATAACATCAACCTTACCCGTAACTTTTGATTGGTTGGGGCTATGGCATTCACATGCGTATTCCTTGTGACAGACCTTTCCTCGGGTAGGAACATATTTGACTCTCGACCTTGGAGTTGACCCACTTTTGCAAAATTTTACCAAACTTTCCTCTTGGCTATTTATTCTAGACAATTGGTAATTGGCCTTCATACTAACAGTTAGTATGAAGGCTTTCATATTTCACAGAGGTATTTCTTGAGACCTTCCCTTGGATACCAACAATTTCGACATTGACCTTGGAGTTTGACCTACATTTGAAAAAAAAAAATTAAACCTTTGCCACAACTTTTGAACGGTTGGTTCTAGGGCTTTCATATTTCACATGTGTGACAAGACCTTTCCGTGGATACCAAGAGTTTTGACCCTATGACCTTGACCTTGAAGTTTGACTTACTTTTGAAAAATCTAACCCTGGCCAGATCTTTTGAACGGTTGGTTCTAGGGCTTTCATATATCACATGTGTATTTCTTGTGACAAGACCTTCCCTTGGGCACCATTAATTTTGAACATTTGACCTGCCTCAAAGTTTGAATTACTTCTGAAAAAACTTTAACCTTCGCCGTAACATTTTTATGGTTTTTTCTAGGGTTTTCATATTTCAGAGGTATATTCCTTGAGACAAGACCTTTCTTTGGGTACCACCATTTTTGATCTATTAACCTTGACCTTGGGGTGACTTGCATTTGAGAAACTTTCACCTTTCGAAATAAGCTGCCATATGGGGGCATCAGTGTTTTACAAATACATCTTGTTTTTTATCCTTTCTCAAACAAGATAAAACCAGATGCAAATGGACCATAAAACATGCTTGAGTTACCTTGATGTCACTCCTGATATGATTGATTTATTGTATGTATGTTGTTTTACCTCCAATTCGAGAATTTTTCACTCATATAGAGTGCTTAATTCAAATTTAGACCTATACTCGGCACTAAGAGCCTTTGAGCAGTGAGGGTCTTTATTGGGCCAAAACCTACCGTGACACGGAACCTCGGTTTTTTAGGTCTCATCTGAAAGACCTGTGACTTTCACTTCTAATGTCCAGTGCTTGACGAAGGAACAGTCAATACCTATATTTACGTCCTAGGTTTAACGCGGCGCAACGAATGAGAATCGAACACTGGCCTCCGGATCACGAAGCGAACGCCCTAACATTAGGCAACCGTGACCAGTCACTCCTGATATAGATTCATCAATACACTATACTCTGTGAACTAGAGGTTCCGATCGTTTTTCTTAATACTGTTTCTAGGTATAAATCTATTTACTATTTAAGGTATAATGTCCATCTAATAGGATAGATAATTTTCAAAAAGAATTATTTAAAAAAAATCATCAAATGAAGCTAGTATTTTTCCAAATATTTCCTCAGTTTCCATATGCTTTCTAATTAATACTACATATTTAAGCAGAAAAAATGATATATTATAATAAAATATTATTTTTATATATACCTCATATTTTTAATTTTATGTTGTGATAATAAATTATTGCTCTTCCTATTCACTGTGTCACGTGTTCTTCATGTCATGGTTAGACATAAAAAAAAATCTGCAAAAGTAAGTGTCGCTTTTTTTTCAAACTTTATTCCATTTGATCGAATGCTTTTGCTGTTAATGAAAATCAATTTTGGGAATTCTTAATTTTTATTCTGAAATTTAGAACAGAGGACTTTAAGGCCATAATTCTTTAAAAGTACAAGGTTAATTTAGCCATATCAATTGTCCGTTGAAATGTATGGAGATAATGAACAGTATTCAAGTTCAAAAGTCCATTTAAACAATACAAATTTGGAGCAGAGCAAACACGGACCTCTAAAACATCAGAGTTGGGATCAGGTGCCATAGAGGAGTGAGCATCCCCTGCCGACCAGTCACACCCGCCATGTGCTCCTTGTCATAATCGGGTAATAACGGAACAATTCAGTGTGTAAATAATGGCCTAACAATTAGCATGAAAATTTGACTTAACGATAAATTGTATTTGCTGACAAGGTCATTGTATCGACCATAGAACTTACGAAATGACGACTTTAAATGAGACTGCTGATATTCTTTTTTCATTAACTTGTTTGCCAATAACTTACCTCGTATTAGAAATTGTTCATACGAAGAGCATGATCTTGCGTATCGAATCAACTGAGAGATATAAATCCCATATGCAGGTGATGAAGGTATATTGTTGCATAAGTCAGGGAAGTTGACGATTGAAACGTTAAAGTCATCACGTTTATCATAAAGCTTAGTTGTTAGATTACCATTAAGTCTTTTTCTAGTAATATATCCAAATATGAAAGAGATGTGTCAGACTCTGGTATCTTTAATTTCAAGCTCACTGGGATATATCGTATCGACATACGAATGGAAATAACCATTGTTATACCTTTAAAAATTTGTTCCTATATATTCAATACTAAAAAAGTCTAACATTTCTAATGTTTTACTGAACGGGCATAAAAAAAATCGATGTTTGACCGCGGTTTGAGATATTGGACCTGTCGATGAGATGTTGGACAGCTTACGTCACATAATGGGCGGGGTCAGCTAAATCTCATCTGCATTCCTTGTCAAAAAACAATAATGATAAAATAAATAAATAAAGGTATAACAAAACATTTATTGACTGCGTTCTCGGGCAATATGCGTTTTGTCGACCCCTCGAACCGAACTGTTTGCCTTCGATCTAACGGCCTCAGGCAAACAGTTTGGTTCTTGGGTCCGACAAAACGCATGTTGCCCTCGAACCCAGTCAATAAATGTATATTGTTAATTGACAATACGTCGTCGATATATCTAAATGTCGAGTTGAAGGCCACAGCAAGTGTTTTCTTTTTTTTTCACGTACAAGATATTTGAAAAAAAAATTCAAAGTTCGTAATTTTTTTTCAAAGTGCGTTGCCATAGCTCTGACCTTGATAACAAACCGCCTTTAATTAATTAGTTCTCACTTAATTAATCAATTTATGTCATTGAATTTCTAGCGACAAAGATACTATTAACTGTAATAAAACAGTAATTGTATGAAAACTTACTTTGACATTGTATGATAGAGATCAAAGAGGAATTGAATTGTTTGATATGTGTATACACTGATTTTGGGAATAGCCCTACTTTTACTTTAATTTCAGATGTTTTGCGAACATGTGCATTTTGCCAGAAAAAGAATCTGACATGCCACTTCGAGATTTTAACCAGTGAGAGAGAACTTTACGAGCTTTCATTTGAGGGGTGTCCCATCTTTCAATGAGAATTAGGGGAAGAGCTGTGTGAGAAAACGTTAACATTGTCGCCTATGGGAAATGTGTTAGTGGACAATACCCAGCTAATGTGCATATGTGGCTGTGTCAGTGTAGAAGAATGTGGGCAAGCTTGAAAAAACTTTAGCAGGAAGGATCATCAAACTCTACATTATAATAATAATTGTAATATTTGCTATCGCCGCCTCTTTGTGGTAATCTCGATTAATTTGAACATGATACGACAGGAAAGGATTGAAACTAAAAAATTTAATTGATATAGCTTTAGCACACTTTTTTAAAAATAATATTCTCGGTTAAATTATTGTTGATTTAATTTTCACTTATTTGAAATAAGGTGTTTTAATGAAAAACAAGACGTGCTTAAGCATTTGTTCAACTGCGCTATGCATGCATTATTAAGTCTGTAAAGTTTAATAGTTCGGTATGGAATTTATATCACGATTGGGACAAAAGATTTTGATATTTTTACAAATGCAAAGCAAAACATTCATTGAATTTGTTGTTCATTATGTTTTCTTCGGTTTTACTTTTGCTTTTGTCATTTAGTAACACATTTTCGTAGGCTGTGACGTCATAGCTAGTCGATTGTAAGATTAAAATTTTAAACATGGATGTAATGAACAACTTTGAGAAATTTTGTCAATCTTAGTCAGGATGGTTAATATACTCTCGCTATCTTATACGGCAGTATTTCTTAATTTTACTTTTGTGAAGGTAAGGAAATTTGAGAGTTTTGCCGCAATTTTGATTTTTTTTCCCATAGTGAAAAATATCACTTTCACGGTTGAAATGTAATAAAAGGATTCACACCCTTTTTAATATCATATGAGCACTTAACCATTATATCAGCCCTCAGGACTTCGGCCCTGTGGCTGATATTGTTGCCTCTGGTTGATAAAGTTTGTTTTTTTTTTCTTTCTTTTTTTTTTAATAGGGTAGTGGATACATATAATTTTTAATATTGAAATACATTAACTAGAGAAGATTTATTAAAATCTGCTAAGATAACATTTTATGTATCAATAAGAATACTTTTATAGAAATCTTTCATACACCCAAAAAGAAATTAAAATATATCTTATTTCTGTATCTATTAAATAATAATTTTGACTTTATAAGAACCTGACACATTTAATTTAACAAATTTGGACTCAGTTTAACCTAATATGATTAATGCCAAACTTTGTCTATATTAATTTTTTATTAATTTTATTTTACTTGAAAGCATTTAACGTATAAATCAACAGATAACAAAAACAACCTACCTTTTTTGGGTACAACAGTCTAAAATATCTTTGTTATTTTTATCTGGAAAAGAAAATAAGCCGTGAAATCATCTATGAGTTTTATTTATGTAGTTAAAATTGAGATGATGACAATGAAAAATTGAATATATGATTCAAACTGCACCTTTTTCAGAGGGCGTGGCAATGACGTCATGGTCTATGAACTGTCCATGGTGGGTGAGGTAGGTAGAAAACCTGGCACTAACAGGAGTCATGCCCCCTGAGCAGTACTGGAAAACATTGTTACTGACAGTTCTAGCGCTTGGTAGTTGGCCGTCAGTTACAGAACTGTTTCTAGTAGTATTCAGTTCTGCAAAAATACTCTACACATTGAATGATTAAATTATAATTGTGATCAAAAAGAAACCGCTTTTTGTCCTTTTTTACGGATCATTTGTTGATTGCAAGGGCCTCTCAAATAACGGCCGGGGACGACTTTCAAGAACGGATTACCAAGGAATTGCATTCTACTGCTTGTTTCATAAATCTCTTTGATATCTGTTAGCGCGATCCAATAAGGTGTAACTGAACCCTTATATTGTTCTACAAAGATCTTCTCGTTGATAGTTTACAACGAATAAGGCATTAAATTCCCTTCGTGCACAAAATAGTATTGTAAGTATGTTTCAAATGCCATTTCCATTATCCAGACTGTTTAGTACACTATCATAACAAAGTGAAATATATATTATATAGTTCAGAACGATACTTACTATTATCGTATGCTGCAGGTACGACACGTTGTTGTGGGGTGCCTGAGGACCCAAGTAAAGGGTCCATCAAATTATTACATTGCCCGTCTGCTCTTCGGTAGGGATAACGAACATTGCAGTAGGGTCGTTCATAACAGTATTTAGCAAGTCTTCGTCGAAATTCTCCGATAATTTGTGGATCACTGGTTATAAACTTTAACGTTTCTGTCATATTACCTCGACTGTTAAACAAGCAGGAATCAAAATTGAATTGAAAGCTATAAAGATATTAATTTAATGACACATTCTTTACAAAAAAATATATCTGAAATGTAATTCTAACACATACACTTGATAAGATGAGACCATATGCCTTTCGGAAACGGACACAAACCTTTCTGAAATGTTCCTTGCAACTATTTCTGCAGCTTCTGTAGCCCTTCTTGAGCGATCGCTGATTAGAGCGTTCAAGCTTGGAGAGTTACTCTGGGAAAATCTGGCCAGTGCTCGAGCTGCTCCCGATCCAGTGCCAGATTCCTGTCTGGACGCTACGCTGTCAGTAGTTCGACCTTCAGAATAAAAAAGGTGAAGATAACGAACAGTGATCGATCCAAAAAAAAAATCAACAGACAATGCATATCTGTGAAAAGGAAATTAAACACGGACCCCGGGTAATTCCAGAGGTGGGAGCAGGTACCCTGTCGAACGGTCACACTCAATAATAGGTTATTTTTGCTTACAGGGGCATTATAACGACCATAAGAATTTACAAAATACTGACTTTAAAAAAGGTTGCTGAAATCCCTGTGACATCAACTTCATGTCAGTAGTCTGCCTCGCTTTAAAAATTGATCGTACTCAGAGCATGTTCTTGAGTTTCGAATAGGATGGGAGATGAAAACACCATATGCAGATGATAGCGGAATATTACTACATAAATAAGAAAAGTTGACAATGGATAAGCTGAAGTCATCCCGATGGTCATTCAAACATCCAAATGAACAGATATGGCAGACTGAGATATTCTTTATTTCGAGTTCACTGTGATATTTCGAGCCGATAAATGAATGAAAGTAAGTATTGTTAATTGATAAAACGTCGACGATATATCTGAATGTGAGGTTAATGGCCACAGAAGTATTTTCTTCTCAGGAATAATTTTTAAAATAAATTTGCTTCTTAGGAATATTAAACACGTCGGCTAAAAAAGGAACAAAATTAGTGCCCATCGGAATTCCAACAATATGCGGAAAGACCTGGTCTCCAAGACTACTAGATGTTGTCAATGAGGAATTCCAGCATCCTCTTAATATCAACTTCAGACTATTCTTGTGTAGAATGAGAGTTATTTTTACCAAAGTAATTTTTTTTTGATGACCAGTCACAAGATATGAAAATTAAGCTGTACACATTTAGGGTTGTTTGGAACCGTTGAAAGGTAAATAAAGTACCAAGATTATGAGTCATATATATTGTTAATTAACAAATACATAATTATAACGCATTTAGAACTCATATCATACTTGAAGAGAGCGACAATTTTTAGCAGAGGTAGGCTGTTGACAGATAAGTTGATGTTACAGAAATTTCAAAAACCTCGTTTAAAGTCAGCATTTTCTTTATTCTATCGTTGTTATAATGACCTTGTTAGCAAATACAGTCATGTATAATCTACCGATTTTGACATATTTGTACCAATTAGTAGGCCTTTGTTTTAACACTAAATTTGACTAAGGAAAATACTGCGTCTACCTGATCAATGCATAAGACCCACGGTGGGTGTGACCGGCCGACAGGGCACCTGCTCCCTCCTATGGAGTTTTTGGGGCATTATGTTTACCCTGTTTATATATTCATACTCTTTGTAGTTTTTCTTTTAAAATCGATTACGGTTCGTTATCATCACATTTTTCATGTACATTAAGATTTGTTTTTAATTATGTTATGCATTTCTTATCTTACGTGCTGGAATTCGTCCTAAATGAACGGTTCTTTCTGAATCTGGAGCGAATGCTGCCGATCCCTCAGATTCTTCTCCGTCCCTTCTTACGCCGCTGAATGCACGGTCAACAGCATTCTCTACTATAGAACCAATGTCTTCTTGGGCAACAGTATGTGAAAGGAAATTCGCAACCATCAACAAAAAACACACTTGAATCATCTCTTTCATCTGTGGTTTTATAGAGAAAAAAAACGATTTTGCTATTTTTGCCTTTTTTAAAAAGTGATTATTGAAGGCTGAGAAAAAAATATTCAGATTTATTGATGATGCGCGTTAGTACAAGATTTATAAGCGGTTTCCCTTTAAAATAAAAAAATAAGAAAAAAATCCATAATAAATAGACATTACGTTTGCAAGTGTTCGAAATTTTGGCATAGTAACAGTATATATATAATTTTTTTAAAAAGTTATGTACACATGCGCTTAACTTTCTTTTTAAAAATATTTTTAAAAAATCCCAGATGTTTGTTAAATAATTATAAGTAAATGTAATCGTTTTAATTTTTTAAATGCAAACAAATCTTAAAACCCCACTCAAAAAAAAAATCAAAGATGGTTTATAAGTGCATGTGTACATACAATTAATTCAGATCGACTTTATAGTAAATCGTAGATTTTTACTGCAGATCTTTTGTGACTGCCAAATATTTTAAGTATAACTTAAATATAAAGTGAGACATTTCTTATGTTTTTGAAGGTTCGTAATTATTTACCAACCATAATGATTTTTTTTCAATAAATATTAGACAGGGCTCTTAAATCATTATAGTTTTCTTCTAACTCTTTTCTAATCGTACAATTTCCCTCATTATTATTTGTTTCATTTCAGTATCTTTATCATTATGTAATACTTTTATGTTAGAGAGATTATAATGTTGTACCATGGAGGAGTGAGCATCCCCTGCCGACCGGTCACACCCGCCGTGTGCTCCTTGTCGTGATCGAGGAAGACGGAAAAATCCGTAGACAATTCAGAGTGTAAATAATGACCTAACAATTAGTATGAAAAACGTCAGTCAGCATTTGACTTCATGATAGGTTGTATTTGGTAACAATGTCATTGTATCAACCACATAAAACTTGTTAAATGATGACTTCAAACAAGACTGTTGATATTCTTGTGTAATTAACTTTTTTGTCAATAGTTTGCCTCGTTTTAGAAATTGTTCATACGTAGAACATGCTCTTGCGTATCGAATCAACTGGGAGACACACATTAACCTACAAACGTATATTAAAAATAAACAAACGATTGTAGAATTAGTTTGAAAAAAGTAATACCAGCAATAGCCAGTTTTAAGTGTTTGATTTTTAAAGAATAATTTTCATCTAGAGTGTTCATTGATTGATTGATGTCTTACGTCCCTCTCGAGAATTTTTCACTCATATGGAGACGCCACCACTTGCCGGTGGAGTGCTACAAATTTTAACCTATACTCGGCAATCAGGGCCATTGAGCAGTGAGGGATCTTTTTCGTGCCAGCACCTACTGCGACACGGGACCTGGGTTTATACGGTCTCATCCGAAGGACTGGTCTCCACGTCCCGCAATGGGATTCGAACCCGCGACGTAAGGATCAACTCCTTACTCTGCGACTCTAGAGCAGACGCTCTAACCACTGCACCACGCGGGCGACTAGAGTGTCCATTTTAGGGCAAAGGAAATTCTGGTATGGGACAAAATTTCTCCTAAATATTTATTTGCTTAAATTTGTAGGATTTGGATACTCCCACCTTTCACTATGTTAAATTGTAATTTTTAATTATTTTTTATTTAATTTAATAAAAATATACAAAAATGATTCTTTTTCTTATATTTTTTTTTCAGAAGCTTAATATTATAGACAGGTGTTGAATTATACAGTGTTGCTATGAAAACAAAAATTTCAAGCAACAAGTCTCATTATTTTTTTTAATTTTCAACAAAAAACAAATTTAAAAAACTGGAAAAATTCGTTCTTGAAAACAAACGGGTATCATTCTATGGTAATGTACAATTAGAATGTGCTTAAATATGTTAACAAAGTAAAATATAGAAAGTGAAATATATATATACGAGGGTTGTTCGGAAAGTTCGTGGACTTCTGTCATATCTTTTTTATTTAACGTCATATGTCATCCAAATTTGGTAGAAATATTTTAACAATAAATTTAAATGATTTGTATTAAATTTTTTAAAAATATCATCATTCATCTAAAACTTATCCAGAATTAAAAACTGCAAAAATCGGATCGCGGCTCAGGTCAAAATTTAGTAATTTACAAACAATACACTAAATAATGTCTGTAGTCATCTTCTCTGTAAAATTGAGCAAAAACGAAGAAATCCTAGACGGTTAAATTAAGAACTGTTACATCGATTCTTATTCCAAATTTTGGCTTAATATTTTGCTTCGGTAAAAAGAAATCAATTTGAGAAGATAGGTAGTCCTCATTGAAAACGACAAAAACGATGACGTTTTAGAACGTCACGGAGCAGCAGATAACGGTGCAGTTTTGTGTTATACTCGCGGAAAATCCTGAATAAACGCTAAAAATGTTGGAGGAATCAGAAAATATGCCACAAGCGAGTAGTGCATGTGTGTGTAAATGGTAGAGGCGGTATTTGAGTGTCAGAGACTCTGTATCTGACGAGGACAATCTGTGAAGAAACGGTTTAACTGTAAAAATCTGAACGAAAACTTTTAAAAGTTGGGACGTCATGGAAAGACGTAGGCGCTTCAGAGTTGCTGATCTAGTGAAAGCACAGTTAAGCGGTAAAAGAGATTAAACATTAACAAAGGAAATTATAAAACGAGAACAATTGTTAGAAAAATAAATGTCAAGTGATTGAAAAAGGTTTTTAATACGTGGGTATTGGACTATACTGTGTGAATGTATAGGGATAGAATTTGTAAGAAACTCTTGACGCTATGTTTTTGACGTTACATTGCTTTTAAGTGTGCGCCGTGGTTAATAAACATGTTGATTTTAAAATGAAAAAAAAAATAATTTCTATCAAATCGAATGGAATGAAATTTCACAGATCAACAAAACAAATATTTTTACACATGATATTGTGCTTATTTTAAATTTCTTGGAAGTAGTATAACAAAGATTGACATCGTCCACGAACTTTTCGAACAACCCTCGTATATTAATGTACTCAAACAATGGAAATACCTGTACTAGTATTTGCTTAAAAGTGTTCAAGAGGAGCTACTTTTAAACTATCTTTTATAGAGTTTGTTTTTTTAATGTCCTTAGTACAAATATTAATAGTTACAGGCTTGCAAATTTTTGTTCATTAATAATAAAATCCCAACTTGTGAAAACTAGCTTCAGATACTAAATCTTTTTGTATCTACAAAATTTGACCCGATAATAAGCACTTAACCAAATTAAAACTATACTTCAAACGGAAGCACGTCATAACGTGGAGGTATCTCATACTACCTTAAGTTTTCCAATCAGATCACACCCTTTCCTGTCCGTAACCGAGAAAATTGCGAATAGTCATGATTGTCAAGCATTTGCATCTATTGATCTCAGTTGAATGACGAATCTTAAAACTTGTGAATTATAAAGCACTTTAGCAGTTAAGAGTCATAAAATACTATTTTGCTGGATCTATCGTTATTTTTTTCAATTTCAAACCCAATTGCAGAGGAGGGCAATTAACAATGGTTAACAATGGTTATAACTTATAAGAAATGTTTGATGTAGAAATAATGAATTGTGTTTGATTGATTGATTGTATATTGTTTTACATCCCGTTCGAGAATTTTTCACTCATAGAGAGAGACGTCACCATATACCGTCGAAGGGCTTTAAATTTAAACCTTTACTCGGCACTCAAGCCCATTGGGCAGTGAGGGATCTTTATCGTGCCAACGCCTGCCGTGACACTGGGCCTCGGTTTTTAAAGTTTCATCCGAAGGACCCGTAACTTTCACTTCAAAATGCCGAGCGATAGGCGGAGGAGCAGTCGCTACCTATTTTTTTATCGACTTAAGTCATTCGCGACCGGGGCTCGAACACACGACCTCCCGATCACAGAGCGAGCGCTCTACCGAATGACCTACCTTGACGGTTAGAAATAGTGAAAGAATATGCTAGGAACATACGATAATATACTGAGATTGCAGTTTAAATATACGGAGAAATAAATAGAGAAACAGCACATTTTTTGTGCTCAATAAATATACACTTTTTTAATGGGTGGTACTGTAGCTCTCTGGTTGTCCATCCCAATTTTTTGGCAGACCAGTGAGCTACAGGTCTACAGCTAGAGCTGTACTTTATATATGAAAAGTATGCAGAGATTTTTTTTTCAGATTTATTGATCCTTTTCTTCTGGTTTTTATGTTTTTGTTTAGTTGGTTTGTGTCCTTGCAGTATTTTTTTACATTCTTTATATATACGTAATACTTCGTGTCTCTAGACCAAACAACGATCAAGCATTGCTCGAAATATTGATAGAATTTTTTTTAAAGTTATTCAAATAGCAATGTATTTTGGTTGTAGTTAAAGATAATTTTGATTATTCTTAAAACGAGTTATTTCTCGAAGATTCATGAATAGCTTTGGATCTATATATAATAAAATTAAATATATGTATCACCTTACCTTACGTGCTCCCAGAACCACATTTAACATAGTTCTTTTATCCTATCCTTTTATATGAGTCTTTAAAGTTGGGGTCAGACCATGGACATGTATTTGGTTTTTCCATTTTTGGGACCAGTTATGTTAAGTACATTAGCGAGATGGATTCACATTTGATTGATATCACAAATTTACCAAATAAAGTTTCCCTGAGATAATTTTGCATCCATGGTTTGATAGGTTTTGCTTTGTAAGTTTGTTAAATTCTCGATATTGTACTGTTGTGAAATTTATTTGAATTTTTCTTAATATCGTAAACAATTATTTGCGTAACATCTGAAGAAAAAACATTAATCAATATTTTTACAGATGGGAAGACAGATTCAGCATAAAAAATATAATATATTCACAATTTTAAAAGCAAGCAACAATTCTCAAAATATTTATTTCATGCATGTATTTTCCGAATTGTTTATTTATTCTTGTGAAATCAATGATGAGTTCAGGACTCCGTAAAAAATAATGGAAACTGCATGAATTAAATATGCTAAAACATTGAAGTTAATAACTGAATAAATTCT